GTAGTATTGCTGTAGTAGTAAGCTGGTGGTGGGTAGTAGTGGTGGTAGTAGGTGTGGTAGTGGTGGTAGTAGTGGTAGTAGTAGGTAGTGGTGGTAGTAGTGTTGGTAGTGTAGTGGTAGTGGTGATGGTAGTAGTGGTAGTAGTGGTGGTGGGTGGTGGTGGTGGTGGTAGTGGTGGTGGTGGTAGTGGTAGTAGCAGGTAGGTGGTGAGTATATAGGCAGTGGCAGTATGGCAGTGGTGGCACAGTGCAGGCAGGTATAGTGTATAGTAGTGGCAGTGGTAGTGGCAGGGCAGTGGTAGTGGTGGGTAGTAGTAGTGGCAGTGGTGGGTAGTAGTGGTAGTGGCACAGGCAGTGGTAGAAGTGGTAGTGGTGGTGGTGGTAGTGGTGGTAGTAGGTGGTAGTGGCCACCAGGCCACCAGCCAGCTGCTAGTCAACCCATGGCAGCAGGTAGTGGTGGGGTAGTGGTGGTAGTAGTGGTGGTAGTGGTGGTAGTGGTGGTAGTGGTGGTAGGTAGTGGTGGTAGTAGTAGTGTAGTGGTAGTAGTAGTAGTGGCGGTAGTAGGTATTAAGATATTTATAGATGTACCAATGGATGTAACAATAATAATATATTCTTATTTTGTAAAGAAATAATACTGGTAAAGTTTATTTTGTTACATTTGTAGGATTATAGTACTAAGAATTACCGATAATAACTCTCAGTCAGAACAATAACATTCTCATTCTTGTAAACAACAGTCATAGTTCAAAACATTTAAATTAGCTGGCTGAACATTGAAATGTTTATGTACTGTATCGCGCTTAGATCCCTTTTCCTGTCCTAGGCGATTTACCATTGAGTACAACCATATGGAAAAATTCTTCGACCCTGCTGATGATGCAACAGCTGTAAATAATTGCCTAGGAACATCCATTACATTTTCGTCATATCATTGGCCAAATACTGCTGCCACCAAGGGTGAGAGAGATTTTACAAACATCTTTACCAAAAATAGACCCCTTTAAATGGTGCACTTCTTCCATGGAAGGACATTAATGTTGAAAGGAAATGTGGAAGAGACTCGCACACATACTCTTCTGCAATGTCTCGCTGTTCGTGAGTCAGATGTCTGCCCCTGATCTTGATCTATCACATTAGCCAGAAAATAAGCAGGTAGTCGCTACTTTGATTCTTTTTCAAAATTATCCATATCCTTATCTGTTAAATAATTCTTAATATCAGTTTTCATTTATCCATATTTCTGCCAGCATCACTTAATAGGGTTATGTTCTCTGGACACAGTCCAATGTCACAAGCAATAGGTTTAGTCTCTAAATAGTCTTCTGCAAAGTTCTTTTTAATGCCTTTATCATTAATCCTTCTCAATTTTCATCAATGTCTTCACTATTTTAACACTTTTATCAAAGGGTCTCCCAGTTCTTTAAATAAGATTCACAGAATCTGTCACTGTGTTCTAATGTGTGTCTGATGGCATTATTAGCATTGTCTTGCCTTCATACAAATATCCTGATGTGATGATTTCTGGAAGTACTTAATGACTTCAGTAATGTACCTTAATGTTCTTGATTTGCAGGTCTTTGGTGAAAGGCCTTTAACAGGTGTGCAGTAGCAACCATATACAGTAATGGACTATCTTGTCCGAATTCACTTTCATTTTTGCCATATTAGCAGCATTATCTGTTGTTATCAGCTTCTACTGTGCATCCAAATTTTGCTCACACTTTTTTGTAGCACATTCAGCTAATTTCAGCAGATACTCAGCTGTATGTCTGATTCTGTGTCTATAGAGTCAACAAGATAAATACGGTTGTCCGCCAGTTATACATAAACTATAGGCTCACTTATGGACATACTCATCCACTACGGCCATACAAACTGTTTTCCCACCAAGATCTTCTGAATAAATCTTCATCACTGAAAGTAGGCTGATCCAACAGAGACCCTCCGATTTGATGTCTATTGGGTGAACATATCCTATCTTAGTATTGAATCATCTTGACGTTATTATTTGTTGCATTGTATATAATTTTAATAATCATGTAATGTAAAAAAGAGAAAATTGTTATTAGTAAAAATCATTTAGAGTTAAATAATGATTTTTACTCTGATTTAAATTGGATTTAAAATCATTTTACGTGAAAGCATAACAACCCTGTAGTAGTGGTGGTGTGTGGTGGTAGTGGGTAGGGGTGTGTGGAGGGTGGTGGGAGGGTTTTGTAGTGGTGGGTGGGAGGGGGTGGGTGGGTGGGAGGTGGTGGTGGTGGTAGGGAGGTGGGTGGTGGTGGTGGTGGTGGTAGTGGTGGTGTGGTAGTGGTGGTGGTAATGGTGGTGGTGGTAGTAGTGGTGGTAGTGGGTAGGGTAGTAGTAGTGGTATAGTGGTAGTGTGGCAGGGTATGGGGGCAGGTGGTGGGTAGTGGTGGTAGTTGTGGGTAGTGGCAGTAGGAAGAAGATAGTGGTGGTGGTGGCGGTGGGTGTGGTGGGTGGGCGTGGTGGTGGCAGTGTGTGTGGTGGTGTGGTGGTAGTGGTGGTAGTGGTAGTAGTAGTAGGAGTGGTAGTATATATATAGTATATAGCTTATATAGTATGTTATAGTATGTCATAAATAGTACAGTTATATACAGTTATATAAGTAGCAGTCAGTATAGTATACATGGGTATAGTATGTTAGTGGTATTATATAGTAGTAGTGTTAGTGGTATAGTGAAGTATAGTAGTATAGTGGAGGGTTGCAGACTAAGTAAAGAAGTATAGTATGGTTGTATGGTAGTAGTGGCAAGGAACAGAGCTGGTAGTATGGCAGGTGGTTGTAGTAGTAGTGGTGATAGTAGGTATTGCAGGTAGTAGTGGTAGGTTGTGGCACGGTACTATGGCATGGTAAGATACAGTGGTTGTGGTGGTAGTGGTGGTGGCAGGCAATAGTGGGTGGCTGTGGTGGTGTGGTGGGTAGTGGTGGTAGTGTGCATAGTGGTGTGGTAGTGGTGTTGTGGTGGTAGGGGTGGTGGTAGTGGTGGTAGTAGGTTGTAGGCGGTGGTAGTAAGGTATTAAGGTCAACACCATACAGTGCTGGAAAGTGAATCACTCCCTCCTCTCTATCCTCATCTCACCCTCTCCACCTTTCCTCCATACCATCTTTTCCTCACTCTCACCCACCTTCCTCCTCCCACCCACTCCCACTCTACTCGCTCTCCCACTCACCTCTCACCTCTCCTCCCACTCACTCCTCCCTCCCACTCACCCCTCCCACTCACTCCCTCTCTCCTCTCACTCCCACTCATTCTCCTCCACTTGTCTCTCACCACTCCCTCCCACCTCCCTCTCCTCACTCCCACTCACTCTCACTCCCTCCACTCACACTCTCTCTCTCCCACTATTCCACTCACCCTCCCACTCACCCTCTCTCCCACCATTCCCACCACTGCCCCACCATTCCCACCTCTCCCACTCATTCCCACTCCTCCCACTATTCCCCACTGCCCTCCTCCCACCTTGCCGCCACTCAACCCTCTCCTCCCACTCATTCCCACCCACTCCCTCCCACTCAACACTCCCTCCTCCCACCATTCCCACCTCACCCCTCCTCCTAACTATTCCCACTCACTCTCCTCCCACTCCTACAACACTCGACATAGTCTGGGTTAATCCATTCATATTAAGATTGTTCTCGGATTGAGGCTAGCATCAGTGTCTCAGTGCCCTTAGCACCCCAGCGTCTGCAGTGTCTCACCATCTCAGTGTCCTCAGCATTCCCAGTGCCCTCAGCATCTCTCATGTCTCAGCATTCCCCTCAATGTCTCAGTATTCCCTGTGTGTCTCTCAGCATCTCTCAGTGTTCCCAGTATCTCTCAGTGTCTGTGTTTCTCAGTATCTCAGCATCTCCCAGTGTCTCCAGCATCTCTCAGTGCCCCAGCATCCCCCCAATGTCCCAGCATCTCCCCCAAAGGCCTCCCCCAGCATCCCCAGTGTCCCCCAGCATCCCAGTGTCCCGGCATCACCCAGTGTCTGTGTTTCAGCATCCCAGCATCTCCCAAAGTCTCTCAGCATCTCCCCAGTCGTCTGTGTTTCCTCAATGTCTCCCAGCATCTCCCTAGTGTCTCTCAAAGATATCAGTGTCTCAGGTTTCAGCATCTCCCAGCATCCTCAGCATCCCCCCAGTGTCCCCTGTGCTCTCAGTACATCCCAAAGTGCCCCCAGCATCTCTCAGTGTCTGTGTCTCACATCCTCAGTATCTCAGCATCCCCAGTGCTCCAGCATCTCAGCGTCTGTGCTCCCCAGCATCTCAGCATCCTCAGCACTCCCCAGCATCTCAGTGTCTCAACATCTCAGTGTCTCAGCATTCCCCAGGTCTGTCTCCCAGTGTCCCAGCATCCCAGAGTCCCCAGCATCACAGTGTCCCAGTCTCCCAGCGTCCCCCAGCATCCCAGCGTCCTCAGTACGCAGTCCCAGGTTTCAGCATCTCCCCAGCATCCCCAGCATCCCCAGAGTCCCGCGCTCCCCAGCATCCCCAGCGTCCCGGCACCACCCAGCAACAGGCTCCCTCAGCGTCCCCAGCATCCCAAGCGTCCCCAGCATCCCCAGCAGGCTCCCAGCGTCCCAGCATCCCCAGCGCCCCCAGCATCCCAGTGTCCCTGCCTTCCAGCATCTCTAGTATCTCAGCATCTCCTCAGCGTCTCTGTGCTCTCAGCATCTCTCAGTGTCTCTCAGTATCTCCGTCTCTGTTTCAGTGTATCTCAGCATCTCAGATCAGGTCAGGTCGGCCCAGGCCAGGCTCTGTTCAGGCCAGGCCAGATCAGGTCAAGTGCCAGATTAGATTACCAAAAAATAGGTTAAGTCAGGTCAAATAAGGTCAGGTCATGTCATACATCTACAAGGTCAGGTCAGGTCATACAGCTGCAGCATAAGTTCATGTGAGGTTAAATAAGGTCAGGTCATAAGGATACAATGTCAGGTAAGGTCAAATACGGTCAGGTCAGGTCATACAGCTACACGGTCAGGTCAGGTCATACAGATGCAATGTAAGGTCAAGTCAGGTTAAATAAGGTCAGGTCATTGAGATACAACATCAGGTAAGGTCAAATAAGGTCAGGTCAGGTCATACAAGGTCAGGTCAGGTCATACAAGGTCAGGTCAGGTCAGTAAAACGAGTCCCCCCCAAAAAAAATATCAAGATTTCTTATTTTTGTTGCGGAAAAAAAAATATTGTTAGGGTCAGGTTTGTAAACAAGAGGGTCAAGGGATGTGAAATGTACTCCTCTTCTTCCTCCTTCTTCCTCCTCTTCTTCCTCCTCTTCCTCTTCTTCCTCCGCCTCTTCTTCTTTTTGTTCTTCTTTGTGTTGTTGTTCTTCTTCCAAAAAAAATAATAAAATAAGAAAAAAGAAAAAAAAAGAACTTGCAAAAAAAAAACATTTAAAAAATACTTCAAAATACATAAAGAAGTATATATATTTGTCACACCTGTATTTCCTGCCATTGTTAATTAAGGTATACATATTTAATTATACTTTACCTGTTGAACGATAATTATATGGTAATTAGTTGAGGTGAAATGAAGGAAATAATTTGTAGACGAATTATTTTTATTATTATTATTGTTATTATTATTATTATTATTATTATTATTATTATTATTATTATTATTTTTGTGTTTATTTACGATTTACATGTATATTTATAAATGGATAGAACTGGGGAGAGAAAGGTAGAGAGAGAGGTATAGAGAGAGAGAGAGAGAGAGAGAGAGAGAGAGGTCGTTCATCACACACTCGTATCATTCATCTTTTTCATTCACCTTAGCTGTCAGAAAGGGCCATGGCCACACTATTGCAGTGGCCGAAGGCATATGGCCACACTACCACGCTGGACAGGCTATATCAATTTACTTCGTTTTTCAATAGAGGTGTTGAAGATGTGGCCATGATAAGATGTGGCCATGATAAGATATGGCCATGACGAGATGTGGCCATGACGAGATGTGGCCATGATAAGATGTGGCCATGATAAGATATGGCCATGACGAGATGTGGCCATGACGAGATGTGGCCATGATAAGATGTGGCCATGATAAGATGTAGCCATGATAAAGTGTTGCCATAATGGGAAGATGTAGGTGTGGCCAAGTGATATTTCTACGTTCCACACACACACACACACACACACACACACACCCACCCACACACACCCACCCACACACACACGCACACACACACACCCACCCACACACACACACACACACACACACACACACACACACACACACACACACACACACACACACACACACACACACATTAGTGCCAGAACAGCGGTGTATCTTCACTTAACTCTTAGTCCGACTTCATAATTACCACACAAGAGTTAAACATAAGAACATAAGAAAATAAGGAGTCTGCAATAGGCTGGTTGGTTTGTGCATGGCAGCTCCTGTCGAGAGTTACTACCACTCTCTATCATCCATGAATCTATCCAGTCTCCTTTTGAAACTTTCCCCTCGATACCATGAGCCTTAATTTTTCTCAGAAGCCTCTGATGCGGTACTCTGTCAAATGCTTTGCTAAAGTCTAAGTAAATAACATCGTAATTATCGTCATTATCTACTACCTCGAAGACTTTCCTAAAAAACGTCAGCAGATTTGTTAGACAAGATTTTCCCTTTGTAAACCCATGTTGAGCAACCACACACACACCAACACAAAAACCCACACACCAAACACCCAACCACCCCCCCAAAACACAGCTCACATTCGCCTGATTCCACAACCCTGCACAACCCATCAATATTTTAAAATCCTCACGAGGGTCTGCAATCTGTTCCTAACACCCCCTTAAATCGAGAAAAATTTCATCCAGTCCTCAGATTTTACTTTTAGTTTATTTATGTTCTAAGAACATCCCTCTCTGATAGTGATATTCTTTAATTTCTTATTTCCAAATATCGTTCCACCTCTGGCACAACAAAATCTTCAGAAACTGATAAGTAGCTGTTCAAATGCTTTGCTTATTTCCTCCACTGCCATTTCATCACTCCCTCCCTGACTTTAAAGGCCTAACTCTTGTCCCTGACCTTTGTCCTATATATACCTGTTAGTTCTTTCACAACATATTTTAGTCCCTGAAAAATAAATATTTTTTTCCCAAGCGACAAAAATTCCCTACTCCTATTTATGACTCTTTACCTCCCTCCCCTCCCCCTCCCTCCTCCCTCCCTCTCCCTTTCCTTTCTTCCTTTTTTCACCTTCCTCCCTCCTCTCTCCCTGTCCCTCCCTCCCTCCTCACTCCTCCTTCCTTCCTTTTTTCACCTCCCTCCTCCCTCCTCCCTCCGTCCCTCCCTCCCTCCCTCAACTCCCTCCTTTTTTTCCTTCTTTTTCAACTCCTTCCTCCTCCCTCCCTCCCTCCTCCTCCCTCTCCCTCCTCCCCCCCCACTCCTCCTTCCCTTTCCTTTTCACCTCCCTCCTCCCCTCCCTCCTTCCTTTCCCCTTTCACCTCCTCCCTCCCCCCTCCCTCCCTTCCCCCTCCTTCCTTTCACCCTCCCTCCCTCCCTCCCTCCTCCTCCCTCCCTCCCTCCTTTCAACCTCCCTCCCTCCCTCCTCTCCCTCCCTCCCTCCTCCCTCCCTCCTTACCCTCCCTCCTTCCCTCCCTCCTCCCTCCCCCTCCTCCTTCCCTTTCACCTCCTCCCTCCCCCCTCCCTCCCCCCCCCCTCCCTCCTCCCCTCCCCTCCCTCCCTCACTCCCTTCCCTCCTCCCCTTCCCTCTCACTCCCTCCTCCCTCCCTTCTTTCACCTCCCTCCCCTCCCCCTCCCTCCCCCACCCTCCTTCCTTCCTTCCCTTTCACCTCCTCCCTCCCCTCCCTCCCCCCTCCCCACTCCCTCCTTCCTTCCATCACCTCCTCCTCCCTCCTCCCTCCCTCCCCTCACCCTCCTTCCTTCCTTTCACCTCCCTCCCTCCCTCCTACCTGATCTCGAACCCATAAACCGATCTGAACCCATAAACCGGATCCGAACCCATAAACCGATCCGAACCTGAGAACCGATCCGAACCCATAAACCGATTCGAACTGATGAAACTGAATTCGAACCCCAAACCGATTCGAACCCAAAACTAGAATCCAACCACAGAACTGGCCTGGGCCTATTAGAACTGGGGCTCAGAACTGGGACCCATAGAACTGGGGCCCAGAACTGGGGCCTATTAGAACTGGGCCCATTAGAACTGGGGCCTACTAGAACTGGGCCTATAAACTGGGCCTAACAACCACAAACCCACCCACAAACACAACAAAACAACAACCCACCACCCCCAATTTTATTTATTCCTTCCTCCTTCCTTCCTTCCTTCCTTCCTTCCTCCCTTCCTTCCTTCCTTCCTTCCTTCCTTCCTTCCTCCTTCCTTCCTTCCTTCCTTCCTTCCTTCTCTCTTCCTTCTTCCTTCCTTCCCTTCTTCCTTCCTTCCTTCCTTCCTTCCTTCCTCCTCCTCCTCCTCCCTCCTCCTCCTCCTCCTCCTCCTCCTCCCCCTCCTCCTCCTCCTCCCCCTCCTCCTCCTCCTCCCTCCCCCCCTCCTCCCCTCCTCCCTCCTCCTCCTCCTCCCTCCTCCCCCCTCCCCCTCCTCTCCCCTCCTCCCTCCCCCCCCCCTCCCCTCCCTCTCCTCCTCTCCTCCTCCCCCCTCCTCCTCCTCAGAACCCAGATTAACGCGGGACTTTACCTACCATCACCATCCAGCGAGGAGACCCAGGCCCAAACTGTGAATTCTGTTCTGACACGCTCTCCCCCATCCGACTCTCATCCTTCATGAAATGCACACCCACATGGTTGACAGTCTCTCGATATTTCTCCTTTCTTTCCACTTTTCCTCACTCATCTCTTCTTCCCACAAATCTGTCTGCCTCCCCATCCCACCTTCCACACCCATATAATCCCCGCCAATCAAGCTCTTCTCAGGAACATGGTTCCAGGCTCTCTGACCCTCGCTGCACCAGCACAGTTAACAGACCCCCACTCACCCCCTCTCCTCCCCCACCACTTCCCCACTCTCCTGACCTCCCCAACCTCCCCCACCCCTCTCCCCACTCTCCCCACCTCCCCCCCACTCCACCCCCACCCCCCACTCACCCCACTCACACCCCTCTCATCCCCACTCTCCCCCCACCCCTCCCTCTCTCCCCACCCCCCACCACCCTCACACCCCTCTCCACTCACCCTCTCCCCCACTCAACCCCTCTCCCCCCACCTCCACCCCTCCTCCCCCCACTCACCCCCTCTCCCACTCCACCCCTCCCCCCACTCACCCTCTCCCCAGTCTCCCCACTCACCCTCTCCCCCACTCACCCCTCCCCACCTCACACCTCCTCTCCCCAGTCTCCCCACTCCACCCCCTCCCCCACCAACTCTCCCCCACCCCACCCTCTCCCCCACCACCCCTCCCCCACCACCTCTCCCCCACCACCCTCTCCCCAGTCTCCCCACTCACCCTCTCCCCCCACCACCCCTCACCCCCCACTCACCCTCTCCCCCCCCACTCCACCCCCCACTCCCCACTCACCCCCTCCCTCTCTCCTCTCCCCCACTCTCCCCCCACTCACCCCTCTCCCCACTCACCCCTCTCCCCCACACTCACACCTCACCCCCCACCTCCCACTCACCCCCCCACTCCACCTCCTCCCCCACTCCCCACTCCCCACTACCTCACCCCTCTCACCCCACCCAAAGCATTATACAAGGAATACACCACTTAGGGACAAATGCACTGCACTCTGTAT